AAAAAAAAAAAAAAGTATGGGGACAGTCAGGTTGTCAAAGAGGTTCATGACAGTCTAGCCCCGAAACTCAGCTCATGGAAGAAGCAGAGAAATCAACTACACGTGGGGTCCTGTTGGATGAGATTTAGGACTCCTTTAGGAAGATTCTTACACTCCCCCAGCCTCCTCACCCCTACCAGCTTAAATGCTCATCTTGACCACATAAAAGCAACATTATCACAGTCCTTTAGAGGTCCACAAACATTTCATGTTTAGAATGCCTTGTCAGGGCGACACTGTACCTCATATATATGAAAGTTACTGATTACAAACCTGGCCTCTGTTCCCTGGTTTCAGTCTTTGTAACAGTGTGGGTGACTTGCTACACTCTCGCACAACACACAAGTCTCCACATATCGTCTCTCCTACTAGCCAAGGAGGTCAAGGGCAGGTCATTATGCTTCCTAGGACCATGCCTGGTATGTAATAGATACTTGATAAAACATTTTTATATATTTCAAAAAAAGCTAGAAAACAGGATTTTGAATGATTTCACCACAAAGAAACGATATATGTTTGAGAAAATAGCTATGTGCTCCCTGATTTGAACATTATACCATGTCTTTCAGAAGCCCCATAAATTATTATGTGTAAATTTAAAAATAAGAATATGTTTTTTAAAAAATGAACTAATCCCATTAATATAAGATTAAAAAATAATTTAAGATGCTAAAAGCTAGCATAATGGTTACATTCTGGTTAGGGAGGTAACTGAAAGGAAGGAGCAGTCATGTGACATTTCTTAATCTGGGGGCTTTTTTTTTTAATTAGTTTTGAGTTACAGATTTTTTTTTCTTTATACCTTTATTTGTTTATTTTTATGTGGTGCCGAGGATCGAACCCAGTGCCTCACACATGCTAGATAAGCACTCCACCACTGAGCCACAACCTAAGCCCCTGGGGACTGTTTTTTTTATCCAGTTAAAAATTCACTAGTCTATGTAATCATGATTCAGACATTTTTCTGTAGGTATATTACATGTTAATATTAAGTGGATGAATGAAACCATCGGTCAATCAGTAGTAGAATTTGAAATGCTTCCCCATTGTAGGATTCAGACAACAAGCTAAGGCAGGGGTTAGCAAATAATTTCTATAAAGCCCTGCAGCCTGCAGGGTCTCTGTCATGAATGCTCAATTTTGCCACTACAGCACAAAAGTAGCCACAGATGATGTGTGAATGAGTATGGCTGTGTGCCAATAAAATACACTTAGGAACATTGATCTCTGAATGTCAGACAATTTTCCTACTTCCTGAATAATAATAAGCTTCTTATATTTTCCCAATCATTTAAAAACCTTAAAATCATTTTTAACTCTCCAGATACACAAAATCAGGCCGTTGGCCAGATTTGATCCACAGGAAGTTGTTTGGTGATCCTTGCTCTAAGAGGACTGTAGATAGATCATGTTTCCCACCCTGCACACAATATCTCAGCCTACCCTTCCCCACCATGCTCCTCCATCACTCCCCCACCTTTATAAGTAGGCAGACATTCCATCTTGTCACCACATGGATATTTGCTGTCCCGAGGTTTGATGGGGTCCACTCGACAGAGAGGGTAGGGGTTATAATCTTGTTTATAAGTTGTGAGTAAATCCATATTCTCTCCACTTGGGATGAATGGTTCAGGCTTGTAGATTTTCACTGGTGCCATTTTGTGAGGCCCATAATCTCTCCTGGAAGGAAAATGAGTAAAGGTCATTGTCATCGTTGCCTTGGTATAAGGCTGTTTCCCCCAGTTAACCCACCTCTAGAAACATCTTCTGAGAAGTATTTTCCTACTCTGTCCAAGCAACTTCTCCTCAATCCCCCACTTTGAAGAGAGGCACCTCCAATCCCTTCTCACCCAAGCCAGGCTCCTGAATGTTATCCTTGACCCCCTCCCCTCATAGCCCCAGAATCTACTATTGGACAGGAAAATTCTCCTCCACCTTCTCAGATTTTCTTTCCTTCTTGGTTCAGATCTGGAATGGTTCTCACTTTAATCATGTGACAGCTTCCTTCTTCATTCTAGCTGCCTCTACTTCAATCCCCACAGTACCTACAGATTCCCTTGCTTAAAAAAAAAAAAATCTTCCAGATAACACCCAACTTTCTAGAAGGTTTTATAAGCTGTGCTGGACCTGTCCCCAACCTTACTGCTCACCCTCTCCTATCCCTACTGTACCCTACCTACCCACACTGCACTCTATGCCCAGAAACTTCTGAAAGAGCCCCTCAGCGCCTGCTCCCTCCACCTGCCTTCCATGGACCCCCTTCACTGTAGGGCTAACTCCTATTTTTGAGGCGCTCCCACCTTTATCTCTGTGATCCCAATAGCTCCTCCTGCCAAAATTTATCTCCTTCCTCTACTTGACCTTATAGAAAATGCAGAAAGAGAAAAAGTACAAGAATCAGAGACCTTACATCTTTTGTTTCTTTGCTATCTGGTGCCCTTATGATTCAGAGGGTAAGAAAACAGTAGGATAAAAAAGCAGGATGGTTTTAACTAAATGAAAAACAGTTCCTTCCCAAAGCATTACACAGTTTATAAAAGACCCTGGTGCCACCTACACCACCACCAGGAGCCACCCTGGAAACACCCATCTCAGCTTGGGTTTGTGCTGCCCACCAAAATAGTATCAACTTCCTGCTTCTCAATACTAATGTCCCTGCCCCCTCCAGGGGCTTCTGTTTTATACAACAGACTGCTTTTCCCTGGAACCCATTCATCCAACTGGACAAGGGGAAGGTAGATTTTTCCCTGATGGTGCTTGCCAGAACAGCCCCACCAAGGGAAGGGGAAGGTTTCCGGACAGGAAAACATTAGGCCCAAACACCAATAAAACCTACTTCCCGGCCAAAATCTGGAGCAGCATTACTAAGCCATGCTTGACTAGCAAAGGTAACACGCTCTGCTGTAACCTGTCTTGCATGAATTATACACAGGGTTGTCAATAAACCCAAACCAGGTCCTGAGAATGCTTGGATTGATAGGAGGAGGGAGTTAGGAAGCAGGAGAATTAGTCTCTCCAGGGGTCCAAAGGGGGAAATGGGAGATGCTTCAGTTGAGCTGAAGCATACTACTCTCAGGGTAGATCTTAAAATATATCTTAGTGGCAGGTACAGGGCCTGCAGCCTGGACTGCCTTCCCAGGGGTTTGCTATTGGCAAATATCAATGGGAGGCTGAGTGACCGGAGCCTCTAGAGCTGACTGTGTATATGTGGGCTTATGGAAGGAATCCGCTAAATGAGAATGAGAAGCCAAGGGTCAGCTCCATACTTCTAACATTCTTGTGAACAAGTACCTCACCCTAGAGTCTGTTCAGTGCTGAATCAATGGCAGCAGGAAATTAGGAGGGTAAGGCTTTATTTAGGCAGCAGAAATAGATAGAAAAGACCAAAAACCAATTAACTGGAAAGTTAACTTTTTGTGCAAAATTTTATGTTTTGAAGGGAATGTCCCCAAGGAAAGTTGAGCTCTCATAAAGGAGGCAGTGGGGTTTCAAGGCAACCTGAAACCATATGTCCCTAAACCATCATAAACCCATGCTCAATCATGGTTACTCAAGCCCACGGACATCTTCACTTCCAAAGCATATCAGGAGATACCAAAGGCAAGAACAAAGCCAGAGGCCCAGGATGCAGTGCAGAGCCCTGCTGACCAAGACAACCCTGGAATGCTTTCTCCAGGCAGGGTCCTGCCACAGCTAAGCCCCAAGCTCAAGGCCATGGCATCTTCTTCTGCTGTTATTCCTACCAATGAAGCAACTGCCTCTTCTCAAGATACCTCAAGAACCTTAACTCAAGAGTGCCAGGCTCTCTGACAATTAAAGCACACTCACTGCTCCTAGCTCCTGGGCTTCCTCAGGAAAAGAGCCAATGAATGCTATCAAATGAGCTCACCAGCCCGCAGACTATCCCAAAGCTGGCTTCTCAAAGGCAAAAGCAGATGCAGTAAAATCCTTGCTCACCACATTTAGGGAAAGAAATTGTCAGTCTACTTCAGTACAAAATTCAAGTCCCTTTGTAAATGTGTACCTATGGTTGAACCCACTGATCAGCTATAACTAAGACAAACAGTTATGGGTGTTGAGGGGAGAAGTTATCCACTTCCGAAGAGAGAACAATTTTTTAAATCTAAACTTTGATTCACTTAGATCTTACCCCAAAACAGTTATTGTGGCTTATAAGTGAGTCTACTCAGAATTTATGTGTTCCCTCATTATGTCTTTATGTTGAGAACATTCACTGAAACATATCATTAGCCACAACATAAATGCCTGTCCCCCAATCACGTATAATCTCACAGTTCATGTAAAAGAAAATCTTTATTCTTCCCAGAAATTGCTCAAATTTAGTAGCCCCCACCCAACAAGAGAACACCAAATCTTCCCTTTCTTTCTGTGGTATACTCCCCAGTGCGTGTGCCCACTGTGACTATGAACCTAGGGGAAAAAATGCTTAAAGACCTGAGTTTCTTAGAGGTAAGTAGCTATAAAAGTTATAGAGTATGGAAGGCCAAGAGTTAACCTCAGAGTTAAGCAAAGGTTAAAGTGGCCCTGCTGAGGAAGTCATAACAACTTGACTTCAACTCATTTGGCAAAGCTAAAGAAAGGTGTTTGACAAGACTCTGACAAAAGAGGAAATAGCATAACAGCTACCTAAGGTCACGAGTCTCGAAGTGGGAAATGGAGATTTTCACCATGACAAATAGGTCATGCAACACTTTTTAAAAAAAAAAAAAAAAGAAAACTATTTTTAATGTTCATGCAAATTTCAGAATTTGTTATAGTGCCCAAGGAATCCATCATATTAAAATGGAATCCATGTTAAGAGGATTCCATTTGCCAAGGCAAATCTCCTACACCCTTACCTGGAATCCCCTCCCTCTAAGGATTCTCTTTTGAGGACCATCTCCTGCATCCTATGTATTCACTTCTTTCCCTGACTCATCTCTTTTCTGTCCATATTCAAACCTGTTCCAGTCTCTTCGATCTTAAAGAAAATATGACATAACCCTCACTGGACTCTATTATAATCTTCCAGTCTTCTCCTCTTCCCCTTCCTCTCTTCCTGAAAGTGTTGTCCATGGGTGGTCTACATGCCTTCCCCAAATCCTCTCATGCCCTGTCCATCTGGTGCTCCTCCCCACACCCACCAAAGCCATCAAGTACCACCTTGTTTCCAGGTCCATCACTATTTCTCATCCTTTTCCCACCGTGCCCTCTTGGAGTTACCTATCCTCTGATCTTTGTAATACTCCCTTTCTGGACTTCACACTCCTCATGGTTTGTCTTTTTCTCCTCTAGAGGGTTTACCTCTTTGTCCGTTGATTTATTTCATTATTTCCACATGTGATTTCTAAACTTCCCAGCGGTCAAAAGGCTCCCTTCTAAGGAAGCCAATATGGTACCCAGGCAAGTTGGGGAGCCCTTTCTAGACCACTGAGAAAAATCCCTTGGCTGAATCACTCTCTCAAATCTTGGCTCTAATCCTGATCCTGGACACACTGAGACTTTCTCATCTTCACTGAAACAGATGGGATTCCAATATGTGCCCTCCAGGATTCAAAGTGCCTTTCTTCTCCTCTACCCTCAACTCCTCCAATGCTACTACTAAGTCAGAAGCTAACATCTGTCACCACTTCACATAAACTCTGGAGGAAAAAAAATCTTCAACTATCTGAAAGCACTAAAGAATGATCAAAATAGGCAGATTCTGGAGGAGAGCCAACAGGTGAGAAAAGGAATTGGCTCTGGACGAATCTTCACTGGTTAAGTTTCCATTAACTGCTTATGATTCAAAGCTCCCAGCCTGAAGGCAGGCTCCAGTCTGTGCCAAGTCAGGCAGCTAAAAGGCCAGTGTTTCTTTATTCTCTCTATTGACTGAAGAACAAGAAAACCAAATTGGAAGCAACCATGAATTATAGGACATAAGGAAGAAATCCTGAAAAGGAAAAAACCAAGGACAGGAAGCCAAAATTCTGCATACAACTATGTCCAAATCTCTGCCTGATCTCACGTCTGAGATGGTCCTCAGAAGAGAATCCTTAGAGGGAGGGGATTCAGGGTAAGCATGTAGGAGGTTTGCCTTGGCAAGAGGAGGGACTCCTCTTAACATGGATTCCACTTGCACAGGGCAGACTTTAAACAACCATGCTCAGGACTTTCATCTTTAGGGAGCAAGTTTAGTTCACAGAGGATGGAACTGCTATTTGAGCTGCCACCCAAAACATGAAATTCTTACTTCAAAAGTCCAATCAAGTATTACCTTCCTGATAAACAAGCAAGCAAACAAACAAAAATGCTCTTCAGAGGAATGTAAAAATGAAAAAGAAAAAGGAATCTCCACAACATTGGTTCACAAATTTAATCCAGGATGCATATCATCAAAGACAATTCAAAGGCTCTAAAATTGCCCAGGCAAGTCCAGGGCTGAGAGCTTACCTGCTCTTTTGTGTTCATCCATTCTCAGGCCCAACCTTATCAAGGGGAATAAGTATATTCCCAGTGGAATAGCTCTGAATAAGGAAATAGACTGCCCTTGATCAGAAGATGTATAAAATCCAGTAAGTTGGGAAAAGACTCAAGCCTACTACCAACTTTCTTGCTTCTTTCATGACTTTTGGAAAGGATACCAAACACCCTCTTTTGGTGCTTCCCTCTCTTCTAGTTTATTAAGAAATCTTATTGAT